CCTACACGACGCTCTTCCGATCTCCCCAAAACCCCAAAACCCCGAATATCTTAAATAATGAGATGGATTAAGTTAAGCTAATAAATGAAGATAATACTAGTATATATTTAAATTTAAGACTTTGCTCCTTTTATAGTTAGAAATATAAAAAAGAAGATAGGTCTCTCTTATTTAAGTAGTATTTTAATACTGATGATTGTCCTACTTTGGATTACAGATTCATCAAGCTATCTCTTTTCACGGTCTTATTGATTAAGCTAGAAATATTCTCATAGTCGCGATAGATGAATAGTTGTTAAATTACATCTTCATTCCAAAATGCTGATAAGCAGGATTCATCAACTCTGAGTGCAGACATTGATTCTTCTTTATGCTAGATACGAACAGCTCCAGAAACTCTTTCAGAGTTGTAATAGCCAGATCCTCTCTGCATAGAAAATCTACTACCATCTCCTTCATACCCTTGAATTTAACTCTCTGTCTTGCCAGCTTTTTCTTGTTGTTGTTATTTGAATTGCTTGAGGATTTTGTCGCTGTTGAGGCTTCATTTGCAGTTTCACTTGCCAGAGTGTTGATTGTGCCATTCGAATCAGTAATGTCCAAGATGCTATGCACTTCAAGCTGAAGAGGCTTATTAGAGTTCTAGCGGTCTGGACTGTCCATTCGGGTCTTAATACGTTCTGGCGACTCACTGAATATAGCCATTCTCTCTTGTCTCGAATAAGCGCACAATTCTGGCGAAAGTTCCAAGGGATGAGTAGGCTGCATATTAGCTAGGTAGTCTATAGCCAAGTCTACATCTTCTGAGAAGTATACCAGATTTTTAGGCTTCTAGCGCATGTCGCATTTAATCTTCAACATGTTAATCTAGTGCATGAATATCATTGGTTTTACTCTCAGCAGGTTTATTATCATAAATATCAGCTTCTCCTTAACCTAAGGCAACTGCTCCTCTATCACAAATGGTAACTATACTTCTTCATAGATAGCATTTATGTTTTCATAGGTGGGTAGCATGTTAGCTGTGCGGAACATTTCATCCTGAAGCCCCTCGAATTTGGTTCGCTATACACAACAACCCATAAATTATTGATATATTATATTTTTATAAACAGTTTAAATTATAACTTCCTAAATAATTCGTAAAATTTTTAAAAGTGGGGTTTTGGGGTTTTGGGGTTTTGGGGTTTTGGGG